ATTCTCACAGGCAAGACTCCCAGAGACAGATGGCATGGTGGGATTTGTAGTTTCACCACAGCTGGAGTGCCAGCGATTGCCCACCGCTGGTCTTGGGAGTCATGACAGCAGCACTGTTTTCCTAGGAAAGTATCCAAAATCTCTGCGCTGTGACACTAGAGCACAAGGTGAGAGTGAATCATACAATGGGGGGACACCTTGTCCTGGTGACAACTGTCGAAGGGAGATTTCTTCTCACTTCCTGTTGCATCTGCAGAGCAGTAGGGAAGGGAAATTTCTGGATTTTTAGAGGTCCCTACTCTATGCCGTCGCGGGTTCCTCCCTTCTCCGCCTCATAATGTTAACATTTATCCATTTTCATCACACACAGAGATGTCATCACTGCGTCCCTGTGCTTCTCTATACAATGCAAACAGATCACGGCTGGTGGGAGGAGCCAGCAGAGTGCTGTACATAGCTTCCTGAAAACATCTCAGTACTGCTCTCAGAAGCCCTCAGTCCTGACGCAAGCAGTGGGCGGACACTTGGGAGGAGTTACGCAAATATCAAAATGCCTTGATGAGTGGACTTCGATCTGGAGGAGTGGGCATTCCTACGCCTGGCCGTATTTGCATGCCTTCTTTTAGGTAACACCCACATGTGACGCTGAGCCTCCATGATGGAAAGGGGCAGGTCAGACTGGGGGGGAAAGTTCTAGATCAGCGGTAGCCAGACTCGAACCCTCCAGCTCTGGTAAACTACAAATCCCATGATGCATCTCTCTCCGGGAGTCGTGTCTAGGTGTGAGAATCTTGCAATGCCTCATGGGATTTGTAGTTCCACCACAGCCGGAGGGGGCGTTTGGCTACCCGTTCTAGACGATGATGGGCGCCTTCCAGCCATAAAATGAGGAGGGCTCTTGGGAGGAGTTATATAAATATCAATATGTCTTGATGGGCGGACGTCAATCCGGAGGAGTGTGCGTTCCTAAGCCCGGCCGTATTTGCATGCCTTCTTTTAGGTAACACCCACACGCGACGCTGAGCCTCCATGATTGAAAGGGGCAGATCAGGCTGGGGAGGAAAGTTCTAGATCAGGGGTAGCCAAACTCCAGCCGTGGTGGAACTACAAATCCCATGAGGCATTACAAGATTCTCAGCCACAGACATGACTCCCAGGGAGAGATGCATCATGGGATTTGTAGTTTCACCAAAGCTGGAGGGCCGGGGTCTGGCTACCCCTGCTGCAGCTTCTAATGCAGATTGTGAGAAGCTCACAGTGTGCAGTGAAATCAGAGGAAGCCATTTCCTGTGCAGAACTAAAAGGAAGGAGTTTACAGCGAAACCAATCACAGGATCTCACATGCCGAACAGGCATTTTCCAGGACAGCCCTTCTACGTGATTTATTCACACGCAGCGGTCATCTCATAGGGAGCAGAGGGGGCCATTCCCTCCACCATCATTACACAAAGGGTTAATGTTCGTGGTCCATACATCGCACCTTCCACTTCCGGTAGATCAACAGCTCTGCCACCAGGGGAGGGTCTAGCCTATCACTGAACACCTGTGTGAAAAGGCTCTGCTTGAAGCAGGCTTTTCCCATGTGCTGCCAGCCAGTGTTTGTTTAGCCTTCCTGAGTAGGCCATGGTGGGGTCAAGTTGGCCTTATGTAGCCTGTAACTTCCAAGGGGGGGCTCTGTGTGGAAGCAAAACACCTGTGTGAGAAGGCTCTGCTGGAAGCAGGCGTATCAGTAAATCACGCGTGATGTTGCCAGTCGGCGAGGCTCGTTCACACCGCAGCTTTGTCCAATGCGATCCTGGCACATA